ACCACCACACCCCCCCGAGCCCGACCTCCAATTCCACCCCCCCTCCTCCAGCCGCATCTCAAGTGCGCAATGGTGACTTTACGCGCGGGATTGGACGTCTTCGGCTTCTTGTGATTTCCAAGTTGCAGCGCGAGAGTCTCATCGCAAAGCGTGCAGGTAAGAAACAAGTCACGTCACTCAGCGTTTACACGTGTAAAGTCGAGAGGAGGGGGGGGGGGCAAAGAGAGAGTAAAATTGTCATTTAGTTCAACAAGACCCTTGTCAGTTCACATCATGCAGTAGACGTCAAATGAATCATGATAACACATTTTGACCACAAACGTGACGCAAGAATGCACGCAACTTGAAGCAACGCACCAAAGTTTGCAAAATCAGTATAAAGACGCTCATGCTGGAAAAAAAAAGTTTAGACTATTTATATTATATGATCAAAATATTAGTATTAACCACCCGTGGGTCTTCGTGGACTGCGTTGCAGCATACATCTTAGTTTTTAATGAGAAAAAAAAAAAGAAATATGTGCAAGTTAAAAATAAATGATAAAAGTTTGATGTCACCGCGGGCTAACTGGTTTTGCACAATATGGAAACGGTGTTGTCACACAGATCCACTACCCCAGCATTTAAAAAAAAAGTGACAATGATAGGACAGTCCGTATGTCACAAAGTTTCAACCAACATCATTTTAAGCAAACAAACTGGCTATTTTATCGCCCATGTTTCAGAAAAAAAAAATCTATGTAAACCCAGTGAAAATATATATAATATATAATTGCCAGTTTGTCACATTTCAGTTTTTTCAGTAAAATGTTTGCACTGGATATTTTGTCAATCATGGTGCAAAAAAAAAAAAAAAAGTTTAATAACATGTTTGATATGAATCATGACAGTCAGTCAGTATGTCCATCATGCTGATAAAAGTTCCCTTTTCAGTTCAAATGTTTACAAATAGCAACTGATATATTGACGCAATAATCCCGCAAAAGTCTTTCAAAAGTTTGGCAACATTTTTTGTCCTGATTATTTGGTGGCATTCACATGTGCAATTCAAAATGAAAGCGTGAATCAGTTTGTCACTATGCAACAAATGCCGCAATCGTCTTTTAATGTTCATTTGAAGTGACTTTTGCTATGTAACCGTAGACATAAAAATCTTTCATTTTCACTGACATGTTGGCCAAAAGTATGCGGAATGACTTTGCTGTCTCTCCTGCTGCTGCAAAAAATGGGTTGAATTTCAAGGTAAACGTGCATTTTATGCTGCAGGATGATTGAATTTGAAGTCTCAATGTTTGTCCCGACTACCAGTAGACCAATTTATTCTGAAAGAAAAAAAATGTACATTTGAAGTTAGAATTTGACTACAAATGAATTCTATAATGATCATATGTAGACATGTTATTGTTGCGAAAAAAAAGAAAAAAAAAGTTGCATTTGATTTCAAATGTAAATAAATACCACTGGTAGATTTGAAGCAAAACTTTCAACAGTGACCATATAGTGGGCTCGTTAATGTTGCAAAAGTAAGTTAAAAAAAAAAATAATTTGATGTGACAATGTTACTAATTACTCCCAAAATGTTGCATTTGAAATAACAAGAAAGACCTTCAAAAGGCCAGTGGATGTTGCAAAAATTCCGAATTCGATGTACCTAAATGTCACTTAAGACCCACCGTTGTCTCATTCGTGTCATTTCCACAATCAAATGGCCTCGTTAATGTTGCAAAAATGTGGGAGTAAAAATGTCAATAGCGACCTCCAGTAAACTTATTAAATTGTCAAAAATGTGGAAATTGTCATTGAAAATGTTGCTTGAGTAGATTCATGAACACCGCAAACATGTTAAAGTTTGAGTAAAAATGTGAATAAAACCCACCAGTCCCATTAATGCAGAAAAAAAAGACATTTGACACCAAAATGTTCATGATGACCACACGTGGACTCATGAATGCTGCAAAAAATGTGACGGGGGGCTTCTTGGGAATCAAACAGGGAAAGAACACTTGCGTAAAGTGGGTGGTGGTCTTATCCTATTAACTTTCCTTCTCTTTGAGGGTGGGGGGGGGGTCCAAGGGCATGAGTCACGTGTAAAAATAGATCACGACAACATCGGGTGGAAGCATGAAGATGAGACGACAAGGCCGATTGTTGTGCGTCGATATTGTGGAGTCAGCAAGTGGCGGTGCAGCCTGGCGCTGGCAGAGGGTACGGGAGGACACGGTGGCTCGGGGGGGTCTGCCGGCGGCTGATAGCGCTCTCCTCGGGGTGGTCCCCTCTCTACACATCGCAGATAACGCATGTTTGCTCTCTGCACATACACACACACACACACACACACACACACATACACACATCTATTTAAAAAAATAGTGATTTGACGCCGCCTCACATGTATTACAATTCTTCTGTGGGGATTGTTTTCAGGAGACAATTTAATATAGCCCGTCTCACACACACACACACACACACACACGCACTTTGTGTCCTGTGTGTAAAACAATCCGAGTGGGGGTCTTATATGTGGTTGGGGGTGGTGGTGGGGTGTTCTGGGTGTCAGAAGTTGATCTCCTAAGGCATTCTGTGCGCAGCAGGTGCTGCGGCCCGACGTTCCCTCATAAGGTAAAGTGGCATTAGTGCGTCCAAATGGCAGACTTATATATAGGCTGCCAATTCAGCACATTGTCCCCGGGCCCGCATAGCTGTTCTGCGAAGACCCGCGACTCCCCGCCCCTCTCCTCTTCCTCCTCCTCTTCCTCACAATTAGTCGAGCACAAGAGAAAATCCGGGTTGAACGTGAGCAAAGTTTGCATATGCACTGCATTTAGGAGGCGGTGTCACCCGGTTGTTCCTAATATTTTGGTTTTTGAATATATTTTAGATATGATTATAAAATCGCATGCACTGCCAGCCAGGGCTGGACTGGCCATCTGGCATTCAGGGCAGATCCATGCCCGGTGGGCCGGCGTCTTTTGGGGCTGACGTGCTGATATTTAATCATTATTTTCCTCCGTTTCACCCCAAGAGAGCACCCTACAAGTTATCGGGAGGAAGGCCATTAATCCATTTGCTTTGTACGGTATTAACAGCAAACTGAACCAATCAACATCAGTGGCAGAGCTACATGGGAGCCGGTGGGGGAGGGGTGGGCGTTAGGAGTCATGTCTGAATGACACATTTTCTAACAATTTATCTTTGGGATAGAACGTTTGATTATTGCAGTCAATGTCAATTATAACCGTTATTCTTACACCATAGCGTGAAAACAGGAGTGCATTTTATTTCATGAAACCTTGACTGCGGATGGTCGTGTAAACAATGACTTCTCAGTTACAGAGGTGGTTGCGAGCATGCGCACGAGTCAAAATGTCAGGGTGGAATTTTTTGGTACCAATGCAGCCTTGCTACCAGCTGTTTTCGAGTTCAAGTTCTCCACTTTGCCAGAGTAGAGGCTCTTCTTTCACTGTAAAAAAAAAAGTTGGTTTCGACCTTTTTCCGTTTTTCTTTTTGGAATTGACAGTAGAACACGGTTAGTCTCACCAAAAAACACTGGTTTCTGACCAAAAAGTGTGGAAAATGAGCATTTGGCAAAAGAATCAGCTCAAGGAGAACTGTGACTCTCCTGCGAGTATCTGTTGCTTTTTTGACACCTTCGACGATAAAACAAGAAAAAAACCACAAGAGAAAATGCTATTGATGGGAAAATAATCATTTATGTCTCTTGTTAAGAAACACGCCGTGAGTGACGCGACGCCCACACACTGCATTGCTCAATTTGAATGATCGAGTCTTTCTGTACGTGGCGTTCGCCATTCACTCCCTGACCTTTCCATTAACTTCTATGACACATCTTTTTCGCACACGCTGTTCATCTTCGACGTATTGCCAAAAACACACTTGGTGGCAATAAATGGTCGAATTCCAGTGAATGAAGATAAACGTCCAGAGCACTGAATGAGTTCACTGTCTTACGTCACATTTTCGCATTTTGAACTATCATCCAGGTATGAAATGATATTAAATACAGCGTAGTCGGACACAACTCAAATAAAGTAATCCGACTCATTCTTTGGTTTGTTTTGTAGTTTGTAAGGACTAATGGAAATAGAAATGATCTGTTCCTGGGTCAATCTGTCAAATCTTCGAAAAGTCATGTTGAATTTAACAGCCACTGTTTTTAACGCTCTTCGTGGACAAAGGTTGTTGTTATGCTCATATTTAAAGAAGGATTCATCCTTATGTTTTCATTGTAGTGTTGATAGTTGTTTCCATTCAAATGAATTATTATATAACAAAATAAATGAGAAAGTTAAGTCCATATAAAATATGTCAAATAGTTCACCTGATTATAAGATGGCGGCATGGTGATCGACTGGTTAGCACGTCAGCCTCACAGTGCAGAGGTGCAGGGTTTGATTGGCTCTGGCCTTCTTGGGTGGAGTTTGCATGTTCTCCCCGTGCCTGTGTGGGTTTTCTCCGGGTACTCCGGTTTCCTCCCACATTCCAAAAACATGCGTGGCGGGGTTAATGGAACATTCTACATTATTCTGAGGTGTGAATGTGAGCACAGATGGTTATTTGTCGATGTGTGCCCTGCGAGTGAATGGCAACCTGTTCAGGGTGTCCCCCGCCGACTGCCCGAAGGCAGCCGGGATTGGCTGCAGCACGCCTCGCAACCCTTGTGAGGATAAGCGGATCGGAAAATGGACGGATATGCTGTATCTCTCAATTATAAGACAATTCGATACTTATTGGATTGCTTTGAAGATGGCGGACAGTGCGGAAGTGTGTGTGGCGATGCTCCTGCTGCTTCGGCCTTATTTTCTATCCACAGTGCTTGGTGCTATTCTCACTGAGTTGAGTTATCTTGATATATTTGAAAGTGAAACGATTTAATTTGTTTCAAGTCCATGCATTCTCTTTCAAATCCAAATTTATTTTATGTTTCAAACCGTTTTTTTTTTTGTTGGACCTCTACTATCGACCCATTTTTGACAAAAATAGAAAAAGTATGTGCATGTGAAAAGTAATTTAAAATAAATAAAGTCATAAAATGTTCTTTTTTGAAATCATGATTCTCATTGAGTTAATTTTTTAACAATAAAAGAACAAAAACAAATGCAAAAGCTGTTTATTTCCCTAATCTTTTTAATTATCGAC